TGTTTTATAATAGTTTAAAAACATTTATTCCCAACGGCGAATTTACATTTTTCAATTAATCTCGGTTTTTTGTTTTTTCATCCCTCAGTGCGGCGTCAACAGCAGCTATGCCCAGCCATTTTTTGTCATCGTCTTTGCGTAGAAGTGCCCTTTGGTTGATGTTAATTTAGGCTAGTAGTGGAATTTTCTAACTCATTTTTTGAGTTACAGACAAAAGTCGGTAAAATTAAAACGCTTTTAATTTCGGTAATTAACTAAATTTGTCGGTAACTTAGCGACTCCACCTCGGAACGGTACAGAACACTACGGTACAGTATTATGCTGTTTATTTTCGAACGCTGGTTTTGTGTTCTTCAAATCTGGTTCTAACTCCATGTTCAAACTTGGCCGGATAGTTCTCTGCACGTCCTCAAACAGTATGGCATAATTGACCGTATCAAATGCCTTTGATAGGTCAAGGGCTACCAACGCTGTTCTGTCACACGGTTGGATCTGGTTTAAACCTCGATTGATGTGTGTTGAAAGGGCGTGCAATGCATTTGCGGATGGAAAATTTTCAATATCACCCATCGTAAACTTTGGCGGTGCCTTCTCGGCGGAAAGACATCTGATACGACGTAGTAATCTTCGCTTCGCCCTATCGCTCTCGCGGTGGCCGACAAATTGTCGGTTAAAATATTCAGCGCACCTCTTCGGATCAGTCACCGTTACATCATTAAACGTAACTAAGGTCATATACTTCATTTATTCGGGGTTCGAGAGTGATTTACTTACTCGGTTCCAATGTTGCAACACTTCAGATGGTCTAGCTAATGTTTTTAAATTAAGTGTCATTCCAAAATTGTTCAAGAAATTAATTACTGCAGTAATTTCATTTAAAATTCCATCTATATTGAGTCCATATCAGCATGGTTTTCGTAGTGGTCTTTAAACTGATTTTAGTAACGCTTTTGATAGGGTTAACCATAATTTCCTAATATTTAAATCGAGTAACGTTCCATCGGGTGTTCCGCAAGGAAGTCACCTTGGACCGGTCCTCTTTCTTTTATTTATCAACGATTTACCTAATTCCATAAATTACTCGAAATTGATAATGTACGCAGATGATGTTAAATTATACATTTCCCATAATTGTGATAAACAATCTAGTTTACTTCAAAACGATTTAGATAGCCTTTTTTAATGGTGCAGGTTAAATTGTATGGATTTAAATTTAAGCAAATGTAAGCATATGTGCTTCTCCAGATCTTCTTCTCTGATATTGCAATATAATATTGACGTTCATTCATTATCAACTGTAGATTCATTTGTCGATCTTGACCTCTTGATGGATCCAAAATTAAATTTTAATAGCCATGTAATAACAATAGTAAATAAAGCAAATGGTGTTTTAGGTTTTGTTAAACGGTGGGCCAAAGAATTTTCTGATCCATATATAACAAAACAGTTATTTACGTCTCCTGTTAGACCTCTGTCAGAATACGGTTCTGTTGTATGGGATCCTCAATATGCAATATACTCAGATAAAATAGAATCCGTGCAAAAACTATTTTTGCTATTAGCCTTACGAGGTTTACATTGGAATAGTAATTTTGTTTTTCCTTCTTATGCTAGTAGGCTAAAATTAATTAGATTGCCTATACTTATTTATTATTATGTTGAACTCCATATTTGTACTAAAAATATTAAATGGTAATATACCTTCAGATTTTCGAATCTTATCATTTAGAATTAATGTTCCGTTTAGATCTAGTAGGTACTACCAATTATTATATACCGATTTTTCACCGCACGAACCTCTTAGTAAAATGTGTGTTTACTTTAATTATTAAAAGTTATTAAATCTAGTATAATTTTATTTTAATTTAACAAACTAGCTGATGAATTAGATTCTGTAGCTGGTTTTCAACTTCCTACTAAATTCCCATTATGATGTGGATCATGTTGTGTACGCGATCCCTGCGTAAAGGGAGGTCGCCCCCCCCCCCCTTGGAGTTCGTTGCAATCAAATTCCAAGAACGATGCACAATCCGAAATTGGAACACCAACGTGTGGCGTGAGATGCTGCGGTATGGGTCCTGTTCGGGAGACTGCGGTGGTGTTCCGTCTTTCGACGAAGACTCTGATGAGGACAACGAAGACGTGGACTCGCTAGGGACTACATTGCTGCTACACATAACAACATAATCCCTATCGATGTAGTCCGGCAATCAACTTGATCCGGAACAGTTTCTAGAGTGCACCCATTCACTACATCCGTTACATCGCACCGAAACAGACCTGTGTTAGATGACGTTCTGACAAACCGCTCAGAACCATGATCCGGGGGTTTCATCTATCCCAAAAGAATTCGGAACTGGCATTCCGTGATATGCTGCTCCCAACGCAGAAAAATAAACACGAAGATGTATATACATGTATAGTTTACCGATCGATGTTCAGTTTTATACACAAAACTATGATAGTGTGCGAGGTGTGTGGAATTTCACATGGGATGTGTTTTGGTAGTCCATTACCGTAGCATCTCTACAAATTCCTCTTCTTCAACATCAGTTTAAATTCTCCCAAAAATCCCAAAATCAGAAAAGCAATGGCTTCAAAAATAAGACATAAATTCTGATAATGTCAATATAAAAAAACAAAAAAGGTTACTTATATATATTTTTTAATTTAATACTAAAATAGCTTAAAACAATTTTTTTAATGGGAAGGATGCATTAGTTTTCTATTTTTTGTCATTAAAGATTTAGGGTTAATGTTAGTAGCTTTCAGTTAGAGTGAGTTTAACACATCCAATTTATTTCGGTATTTAGTTCTTAGGTATGAGGTAATAAAGGGGAAAAGGACTTTGACAGCTTCATCAAACGGGTAAGGATACTTCACAGCAACTTAGATCCAGAATTTCTTTGATTGTTTGCAATTAAAAGTATTTTTGTAGTAATACATTTCCCAATAAATCAATGTCCGATTCGTGTAAACTTAAAAGATACAAATTAAGTTCGGTTAATTCGAAAAATACATCGCCAAAGTACTTTTATTTATTTAATACTTTCTCCTATATATGTTCATTATATTCGTTTTTTCCGTTCTAAGAATATTAATACTTCATATCGTAATTCCACAAATCATGTGAGTACTTTTGGCTTTTTCATTCCAACACTTTTTTCCTTTTATATAAGAATCAATTGAACTGGAAATTCCTTCAATCGTTCGTCGGCTTATTGACTTATCGAATAAAAAATCTTGATCAGTCTGTCTTTCAAGAATTGAATCATAGCAACTTGTAAATAAATATATATGTGTGTGCTTGTATTTCTTATGAATAAATCAATACAAGAGAATAAAGAATGCAATTTGCACTGCAGGAAGCACAGTACATTATGCAATAAGAGTTTTAAACTTACTGAACTTACTTATTGATGACATACTTCTGGCATTTGTACAAATCATACTAAAACATCCTTTTGCACCATTTCAATTCAATATTAAATTCATCAAAATATAAATATTGATTTTTCATTAAGAAAATAAATGTTATATTCATAATATTAGAAAATATTATTACATCGTAGCTGAGAAAATAATTGACTTAACTTTTTAGTATAATCCTTTGTTTAGGCTTTGTGGACATAAGCGCCTCTTTTGACTTCCGTTGGTCAAATTTAACAACAGATTTCTTCACATTTGCTGTTTGTCTTCTTTTTGTAAGTATAAAAGCTTTGGAAATTGATTTTTTTCATTTCAATTTCCACAGCTGATAAATATTTTTCCTGTCTGACACCAGTGACAAAACAATCGTTTTACACCTTATATTTTAAATGTTTAATGGACTTATTTTGTAAATCTTGCTTAATCTATTTGTTTTTCTTTTGTACGAATTCCAGCATCTTCATATCCTTACCATTATCGTGAAGCTCTTTTTTGTCTTCCACAGGATTTGTTTCCCAGGAGATCTGATTCTTTTTTCGCTTCCGAAGTACTTATATATCCAGTTCGTTTTAAATTAGATTCTCACTTTAAAAATATATTGGTATAACCATGGTACAATGAAGAAAAGGTAGGTCAACTTTGAAAAAATTGCAAGTATAGAGGTCTACCTGTTTGGCTTGTAATGTCAGAAATAGTATCAAAACAATAACAAAATCAAACAACTTGTTGCATTTATTTTGAATAAATAATTGAAAACCGCGAAAACTGAATGAAAGGTCAACACTTCTTTTCAAAACCAGGTTCTATATATCTCTAAAGGATTATTTCGCTACAAAAACTCTAGATTTTGTCGATGCATACAATGAAATAAACATTTTGAAAACATCCGAATTTGAATGTTTTCTGAACAATTTTTTTGTTATTGAAGAGAAAACACATACATAAACAAATAAAGATGACATATTAAGCCAAGAAAATAAAAAAATTGAAATCATATGGTATCATAGCCCTACCTTGATATCATTGTACCATGGGTATAACCATCATTATCCAACAATTTACAACAACCACTAGTTATGACAAAAACTATCGCATGTTTACAAAGATAAAAGAACAAAATATTTTTAACTTATGATATTGCAATTAATACTTTAACTCAATTGCATTGTCTATGGAAACCCTTACTCTGCGTTTACAAAACACAGGACAATAGATTTAATGTATTAATTGTCAAATACCAAACATTGTCCTATAAAGGTTCCGACAATTAAAAGAAATAAAACAAAATAATAAATGAAAAGCATACATTTTGTTTTTTTCTGATCATTGTGTTTGTTTATTATTTTATATTGTTTTTTAGCAATATTCACTTGTTTTTTTTTTAGTTGCTTTCTAATGTTGAAATTGTTTTAACATTCCTGCCCTTGGCTAATGCTCAACAGTAACAAAAATGCAGTAAACACAACTCAAAATAAAAACAATTTGTCTTATGTAATCGCCAGGTTACAATTCATAGAAATGGTCAACAATGGATACTTTTGTCAGTAAGGTACGAGTTGAAAACAGGTAAATTGATCAATGATATAAACATACTGGCGAGGCTTTTCATATTTATTTCAATTTTCACTAGAATGAACAATAACAAAAAATACATACATTTGTGTAATACTTGTCATTGCAGAACATATTTAGTCGTGTATACATGTATTTACACAGTTTTCGGTGATGCTTCTAGAGGTGAAGCATTTATGTGTGGCAAATTTAATTTTATGAAGCTACCGACATTTTTATCTACTAATTCATTTTTTTTGGTATCCTCTTTAGTTTCTGTGAAAAACCATCGCTTTTTATTCACAAGGAACAAAATCATTAGTAACGGCAGATGTAGGAGCAAAAAACGAAAAAGCTTTCGTGATGTTCCACTATTAGAGTCCTTGTAAAATTTGTAAGCTGCAAATAAAGAAAAAAAATTAATTATTATAAACACTTATATATTGTTGTAACTATTTATATAGAGATGGCAACCATATCATTATTACACTTTCATATGTCATTGTTATTATTCTTTCATGTCATCTGCATAACATACATACACTCATACATTGTAATTTCATCATTCTCTTTTTACCATCTTCATGTGTACAGATTGACACCATTTTGTATTAGTATGTCTTAAGCTTTTGTTAAATAAAGTAATTCTTAAAATGAGCAAGCGTGCCGCATTTTTAACTCAACCATCGTTCCCACGAATACAACAATTTGGCGACGAGAGTAAAACAAGATTGATCAAATTAAAATTAGCCAAGTGCAAGGTTAATATTTCAACAAAGTATAAGACGATGAATTCCACACAATTCCAAGCCTTTTTGAAAACGCAGGAAGCTTTGGTTGCGCAACTGGCGAGATTAACAACGGATGGTAGTCGCCACAGGAAAATCAGGGCAGTGGCAGCAACAACAGCATCAACACAGTGTTAGTACCCAATTTTGATATGTTTGACACAACGAAGGAAACATACCAAAATTACATCGAAAGGTTTTCGAATTACATAACCATGAAAGGTGTGCATGAAAATAAGGCGTACTGTGCAATGTTACTCCTTAATTCAATCGGGTCGAAATATTTTAACATGGTTACTGCGTTGGCGGCACCAAAGCATACATCACAGCTGAAGTACGACGAGCTGCTAAAGATTTTGGGAGATCATTTGGCTCCCAAAAGAAGTGTATTGGTTGCTCAACACAAATTCTTATCGATTTACCAGAGAGAAGGACAGTCTGTAGCCGAATTTGTGGCATCTCTTCGTGCAGAGATTGATGCATGCGAATTTGTCTCCCCGTGCGAATGTGGAATTTCCATTGCTAATGTTTTTCTAAGGGCACAGTTTATCCGAGGTATACACGACAACGGTATTCGGGAACAACTTCTCCAACCAAGTTCTGCGGAATTCGAAGAAATTGTTTTAAAAGCATTGGCATTGGAGGCAGCTAAGGTGGATGCTAGGGAATTGTCACAAGTCAACAGTTCTGTTGACATAAACAAAATTTTCAGCAAAAACAAGCCCCACAAAGCGAAATTCAAAAGGCCTGAAACTGTACGATCAGGTAAAATCAATTATGCGCAATTAGGAATTGCCGGGTTATGTTTACATTGTGGTAAAAATAATCATTATGCGAGAGAATGTCGATCTAGTAAAAATCTTAAATGTAACTTATGCAGTAAACGTGGTCATGTGGCTAAAGTATGCATAGCTACTCTTTTGGCAAATGGTCCTAATGCCGGACAAAATAAAAAGTTTTCGAACACCACAAATCAAGTTCAAAGTGTAGATCCCGGGTACGGAATTTTTAAAATTGTGGATGTGTACCAGAATGAATATACAGATGCACAACGATACTATGCTGATATTTCTATAGAAGGCAAGGTGGTAAGATTCGAAGTCGATTCAGGATCTGGATATTCATTTTTACCCAGAAGCCAATTCGCAAAATTAAATATGGATGACAAAATAACTCCAACAAAAATAGTTTTCCGATCCTATACGCAGAATAAATTCATTCCGGATGGAAAAGTTCGGGTCAATATTAAATTCAAAAACAGTACAATAAATGATGATATTTATATCGTTCCAGATGAGTGTTCTGCTTTAATTGGACGGACGTGGATACGCCGTCTAGGCACCAATTTGAATGAACTAGATGAGTGTGATTCAAATCCTGAAATGATTATTGTCGTGGGAAGCACAAACGATGTGCAAGAATTTGTGACCGAATTTGCTAGTGTTTTTCAACAAAACATTGGGTGCATTCCCAATTATAAAGTCACTCTAAAATTGCGGGATAATGCTACTCCAGTGTACACAAAAGAGCGTCAAATTCCATATGCATTGACAGAGCGTGTCAATAAAGAGCTTGACGAACTGGAGAAAGCTTCTATAATTACAAAAATTTCAAACAGCGATTGGGGATCGCCATTAGTCGTAATTCCTAAGGCGGATGGTGGGGTACGTTTATGCGTCGACTACAAGGTGGGCGTAAATCAACGCCTAGTAGATGCACATTATCCAATTCGGAAAATCGATGAAATTTTCAACAGTCTAAGAGACTCTAAATTCTTTTGTCGTCTAGATTTATACAAGGCATATCTACATGTACCCGTCGATGATATGTCCAGCGAGATACAAACTATATCAACTCATAGAGGCACATATAAAATGAATCGCCTTTCCTTCGGGATTAAAACCGCACCCGCGGAGTTCAATAGAATAATAGACCAAATATTAAGGGAACCTCCTAAAACAGAATCGTACTTTGGCGATATCGTTGTTCATGGTGCTACATTGGAAGAGTGCAAGTCCAATTTGAGAGCATGCTTGACAAAATTGAGTAAATACGATCTGCATTTAAACATGGCAAAATGTAAATTCTTCGAAGAACAAATCGAGTTTTTGGGACACACCATACGTCACAATAAGGTGCAAAAGTCCTTATCAAAAGTACAGGCTATTTTGGAAATGCCTAAACCTGAGTGCGTAGAAGACGTTCGCCGGTTCCTCGGAATGGTGACGTATTACTCAAGATTCATACCAAACTCAGCTACGATTACAACTCCATTACGACACCTATTGCGGAAGAATGCTGTCTTTAAATGGTCAATAAATCTTTTGAAACATTAAAAGCAGAAATCGCTAGTGATCGTGTACTAACACTTTTCAACCCCGATTTACCATTGCAGCTTGCATGTGACGCTAGTCCCACAGGGATAGCAGGAGTGTTGTCGCACATCATAAACGATGAAGAAAGACCCATAGCGTTCGCTTCGAGGTCGCTAACGTCGGCGGAGAAAAATTACTCTCAATTAGATTGAGAAGCGTTAGCTATTGTTTACGCTGTACAACACTTCCATGAATACGTCTACGGCAGACTATTCAAATTGATCACGGATAACCAGCCATTGTCAAGAATATTCCACCAACATTCGAAATTGCCTCAAATGACATCTTCGCGACTTCAGCGGTACGCAACATTTTTAACAGGTTATAACTATGAAGTCGTCACTAAGAGGAGCGAGGAAAACGTGAATGCGGATTGCCTATCTAGGGCACCATTGGAAATAGGTACTCAAACTTTAAATTTTCTTGATAATGAAGTGCATTCTATATGCGTATCAACTATTCAACAAATCAATTCTATAAAATTAAACTTCAACGCTCTTCGTGAAGCAACAAAAAGAGATGAAAAACTCTCGAAAATCATCAACACATTGCAAAAATCGGATATTGTTGACTCCGAATTCACAATTGATTGCAACAATTGATTGCAACTTCAACAATCTGTTTTGGAAGAACTCCATTACACACATATCGGCATCACAAAGATGAAACAATTGGCAAGACGATATGTGTATTGGACATCAATCGATAGAGATATCGAAAACTTTGTACGGAAATGTTCTGCTTGTGCAGAAGTGAAGAAGAGCCCTCCAAAAGTGGTCCTACACCCCTGGGAAGAACCTGAAACCAATTGGCAGCGTATTCACATTGATTACGCAGGACCGTATCAAGGGTATTTCTTTTTGGTAGTAGTAGATGCCAAATCAAAATGGGCTGAGGTCGGAGTATCTTCTTCTGCACCAACTTCATCATCAACAATTCAAATATTGGAAAATATGTTTTCAAGGAATGGTTTTCCAGATGTAGTCGTTTCTGACAACGCTACAATTTTCAAAAGTGAAGAATTCACAAAATTTTGTAGGCATCGCGGAATTTTCCAAAAATTCATTGCGCCAGGCCATCCTGCGACAAATGGCCTAGCCGAGAGAAACATCCAGACATTAAAACAACGTTTAACATCGATGTCAAATGACCCCGCGACAATGTCGACGAAAATTCGAGAAATTTTATTTAGATATCGGGCCACGCCTCTCCGAAATGGAAAAACCCCTTCAGAAATGTATTTAGGAAGGCAAATAAAGATTCAATTAGATGCACTAAAACCACTGAAATTAACATCAACCAAATCTACAATAACATCGGCAAGAAAATTAGGTGAGGGAGACCGAGTGCAAGCGCGATACTACACAGCCAACAAATCGATTTGGAAATTCGGTGTGGTAGCTAAGAAGCTAGGTAATCTTCATTATATAATCAAGCTTGACAATGGATTTGTCTTCAAACGCCACATAAACCAGCTCCGTTTATCTAATACGCCAATTCCAAAGACTGCGGAAAATTCACCTTCCGATTCGCCTTCAAACAACACTCAACAAATGGGTATACAATTTTTCCAGCAACCAGTAATAAGCTCATACGTACCACCAGATGGAAGCGAAGTTCCTCCAGATTTGGAATGCACAGATCCTACAACATCATCTTCAGCATCACCCTCAAGAAACGGACAACATACCGAAGAGCTGTCAAACTCCAATGAAGAGTCTGAAGTTGCAGACACCCCAAGTCGTCGAACATCTGCAAGGCAACGTAGACCCCCCCAGTATTTTGGCGATTATATTCGACATTAAAATATGTTCCGTTTAAGTGAGGGAGAACTGTTGTAACTATTTATATAGAGATGGCAACCATATCATTATTACACTTTCATATCATCATCATCTGCATAACATACATACACTCATACATTGTAATTTCATCATTCTCTTTTTACCATCTTCATGTGTACAGATTGACACCATTTTGTATTAGTATGTCTTAAGCTTTTGTTAAATAAAGTAATTCTTAAAATAAGCAAGCGTGCCGCATTTTTAACTCAACCATCGTTCCCACGAATACAACATATATATAGTTTTTACTTTATTAAGAAATAAAATATATAGAATACTCTAATATTTATTGGAGATATTTAAATTTATAAGACATTTATTAATGTGTTCCAAATATCACTGTTGCTTTTTACCTCTGTTTAGTATACATGTGACTTTTCTCCGGTAAGATTTTCTCAAAACGATCCAGTTTAATTCATAAATTGGAACAAAAATAACAACGATTTTCGATAAAACGATAAAACTGTAAAAATTCGCAGAATTTATATTTTCTACATTTTTCTTAATGTTTTAGGCACTATGAATACAAAGTAGGATAAGTTTGAGAAAGTAGGGTATAGAGGGATTGAGGAATGTACTGACAAAATTACGATCAAGACAAACCCAACAACTCGATTCGTTTATTTAATTTTTGAATAAATTAATAAACAAAAAAAGTTAAAATAAACGAAATGTCACATTTATTCCGGTAATAGGCGTGTATGCAACATAACGTTCCAGTAAAGTTTATTCTCACTCGAAAATTATTACAATATTAGATGATTGTTTTCTGAAAAATAATTAAAATATTCAAATTATTGGCTGATTATAAATCATAATCAACTTGACTCGATCTCATTTAATGGAATTTGGTTTATCGGACATTTTGTAATAATTTGTACAACACTTTTTGAAAGTACATACCTAAACTGCAGTTCTGATTTTATGGTCTAATATAAACCAGTCTTTTTCGCCATAAAAGGGGCTAAGGGCTCCCAGAAACCTGTGAGATTTTTGTTTTACAGTTTTAAGCAATATTGTAGCCCTATGCTTTTGAAACTTATGTGTAGAAGGAACCAATCAGATAATCGCATAAAGATCAATAAAATATTACAAGTTTTACATTGTGATGTTGTAAAATTTTTGTTGTAGTGTGTTGTTTCAGGGTTATTTTTCCATATTCCTTTCACAACACACGTATCAAACACTGTTAACACGGACAGTTTACTTTTTTATTTTACTGCTCAAAACCATGAGCTAGCACATGAGTCCACAAAAGAGAACATTTAAAAGAAAATTAATATTCTGTTTTTCTTTATATTATAATATTTTTTTAAATTCTTTTTAAATATAAAGGTGATCCAAAAGTATTAATGAATCTTATAATTAGCAATAAATAAATAACGTTTTAACACTGATTCATTGATGCTTTCTACAAGCAAAGAGAAGGCTGAATCATTTCTTTAAAGTTTTGATTTCCCACTTGCAATGGGAAAAATCCAGATAAATCTATCTAATAAGTAGAACAAAAACATTCAAAACAGAAAACTAGATCAAAGTACATTCATCGCAAAATCTTTTGATTTTCTTCACCATTATTTAAATAAAACAAAAAAAGCACGAGTTTTTGGTTGATTATAATTGTTTTAAGTATTTTTACAGCACTGCTAAACCAAAATAAATTTTTTCCTTCTTCTTGCTCAGTACTTAAGTAGAATTTTGTGTTTTATAATAGTTAAAAACATTTATTCCCAACGGCGAATTTACATTTTTCAATTAATCTCGGTTTTTTGTTTTTTCATCCCTCAGTGCGGCGTCAACAGCAGCTATGCCCAGCCATTTTTTGTCATCGTCTTTGCGTAGAAGTGCCCTTTGGTTGATGTTAATTTAGGCTAGTAGTGGAATTTTCTAACTCATTTTTTTGAGTTACAGACAAAAGTCGGTAAAATTAAAATGCTTTTAATTTCGGTAATTAACTAAATTTGTCGGTAACTTAGCGACTCCACCTCGGAACGGTACAGAACACTACGGTACAGTATCATGCTGTTTATTTTCGAACGCTGGTTTTGTGTTCTTCAAATCTGGTTCTAACTCCATGTTCAAACTTGGCCGGAGTAGTTCTCTGCACGTCCTCAAACAGTATGGCATAATTGACCGTATCAAATGCCTTTGATAGGTCAAGGGCTTCCAACGCTGTTCTGTCACACGGTTGGATCTGGTTTAAACCTCGATTGATGTGTGTTGAAATGGCGTGCAATGCGGTTGCGGATGGAAAAATTTCAACATCACCCATCGTAAACTTTGGCGGTGCCTTCTCGGCGGAAAGACATCTGATACGACGTAGTAATCTTCGCTTCGCCCTATCGTTCTCGCGGTGGCCGACAAATTGTCGGTTAAAATATTCAGCGCACCTCTTCGGATCAGTCACCGTTACATCATTAAACGTAACTAAGGTCATATACTTCTTTTATTCAGGGTTCGAGAGTGATTTACTTACTCGGTTCCAATGTTGCAACACTTCAGATGGTCTACCTAATGTTTTTAAATTAAGTGTCATTCCAAAATTGTTCAAAAAATTAATTACTGCAGTAATTTCATTTAAAATTCCATCTATATTGAGTCCATATCAGCATGGTTTTCGTAGTGGTCTTTCAACTGATTTTAGTAAAGCTTTTGATAGGGTTAACCATAATTTCCTAATATTTAAATTAAATTACACAAAATAGATCAGAAATAGTTTTGTTTGAAGGGTATCTATCCAAATCGAGTAACGTTCCATCGGATGTTCCGCAAGGAAGTCACCTTGGACCGGTCCTCTTTCTTTTATTTATCAACGATTTACCTAATTCTATAAATTACTCGAAATTGTTAATGTACGCAGATGATGTTAAATTATACATTTCCGATAATTGTGATAAACAATCTAGTTTACTTCAAAACGATTTAGATAGCCTTTTTTAATGGTGCAGGTTAAATTGTATGGATTTAAATTTAAGCAAATGTAAGCATATGTGCTTCTCCAGATCTTCTCCTCTGATATTGCAATATAATATTGACGTTCATTCATTATCAACTGTAGATTCATTTGTCGATCTTGACCTCTTGATGGATCCAAAATTAAATTTTAATAGCCATGTAATAACAATAGTAAATAAAGCAAATGGTGTTTTAGGTTTTGTTAAACGGTGGGCCAAAGAATTTTCTGATCCATATATAACAAAACAGTTATTTACGTCTCCTGTTAGACCTCTGTCAGAATACGGTTCTGTTGTATGGGATCCTCAATATGCAATATACTCAGATAAAATAGAATCCGTGCAAAAACTATTTTTGCTATTAGCCTTACGAGGTTTACATTGAAATAGTAATTTTGTTTTTCCTTCTTATGCTAGTAGGCTAAAATTAATTAGATTGCCTACACTTATGATCTCCATGTTGATCTCCATGTTTGTACTAAAAATATTAAATGGTAATATACCTTCAGATTTCCGAATCTTATCATTTAGAATTAATGTTCCGTTTAGATCTAGTAGGTACTACCAATTATTATATACCGATTTTTCACCGCACGAACCTCTTAGTAAAATGTGTGTTTACTTTAATTATTAAAAGTTATTAAATCTAGTATAATTTTATTTTAATTTAACAAACTAGCTGATGAATTAGATTCTGTAGCTGGTTTTCAACTTCCTACTAAATTCCCATTATGATGTGGATCATGTTGTTTACGCGATCCCTGCGTAAAGGGAGGTCGCCCCCCCTTGGAGTTCGTTGCAATCAAATTCCAAGAACGATGCACAATCCGAAATTGGAACACCAACGTGTGGCTTGAGATGCTGCGGTATGGGTCCTGTTCGGGAGACTGCGGTGGTGTTCCGTCTTTCGACGAAGACTCTGATGAGGACAACGAAGACGTGGACTCGCTAGGGACTACGTTGCTGCTACACATAACAACATAATCCCTATCGATGTAGTCTCGCAATCAACTTGATCCGGAACAGTTTCTAGAGTGCACCCATTCACTACATCCGTTACATCGCACCGAAACAGACCTGTGTTAGATGACGTTCTGACAAACCGCTCAGAACCATGATCCGGGGGTTTCATCTATCCCAAAAGAATTCGGAACTGGCATTCCGTGATATGCTGCTCCCAACGCAGAAAAATAAACACGAACATGTATATACATGTATAGTTTACCGATCGATGTTCAGTTTTATACACAAAACTATGATAGTGTGCGAGGTGTGTGGAATTTCACATGGGATGTGTTTTGGTAGTCCATTACCGTAACATCTCTACAAATTCCTCTTCTTCAACATCAGTTTAAATTCTCCCAAAAATCCCAAAATCAGAAAAGCAATGGCTTCAAAAATAAGACATAGATCCAGAATTTCTTTGATTATTTGCAATTAAAAGTATTTTTGTAGTAATACATTTCCCAATAAATCAATGTCCGATTCGTGTAAACTTAAAAGATACAAATTAAGTTCGGTTAATTCGAAAAATACATCGCCAAAGTACTTTTATTTATTTAATACTTTCTCCTATATATGTTCATTATATTCGTTTTTTCCGTTCTAAGAATATTAATACTTCATATCGTAATTCCACAAATCATGTGAGTACTTTTGGCTTTTTCATTCCAACACTTTTTTCCTTTTATATAAGAATCAATTGAACTGGAAATTCCTTCAATCGTTCGTCGGCTTATTGACTTATCGAATAAAAAATCTTGATCAGTCTGTCTTTCAAGAATTGAATCATAGCAACTTGTAAATAAATATATATGTGTGTGCTTGTATTTCTTATGAATAAATCAATACAAGAGAATAAAGAATGCAATTTGCACTGCAGGAAGCACAGTACATTATGCAATAAGAGTTTTAAACTTACTGAACTTACTTATTGATGACATACTTCTGGCATTTGTACAAATCATACTAAAACATCCTTTTGCACCATTTCAATTCAATATTAAATTCATCAAAATATAAATATTGATTTTTCATTAAGAAAATAAATGTTATATTCATAATATTAGAAAATATTATTACATCGTAGCTGAGAAAATAATTGACTTAACTTTTTAGTATAATCCTTTGTTTAGGCTTTGTGGACATAAGCGCCTCTTTTGACTTCCGTTGGTCAAATTTAACAACAGATTTCTTCACATTTGCTGTTTGTCTTCTTTTTGTAAGTATAAAAGCTTTGGAAATTGATTTTTTTCATTTCAATTTCCACAGCTGATAAATATTTTTCCTGTCTGACACCAGTGACAAAACAATCGTTTTACACCTTATATTTTAAATGTTTAACGGACTTATTTTGTAAATCTTGCTTCATCTATTTGTTTTTCTTTTGTACGAATTCCAGCATCTTCATATCCTTACCATTATCGTGAAGCTCTTTATTGTCTTCCACAGGATTTGTTTCCCAGGAGATCTGATTCTTTTTTCGCTTCCGAAGTACTTATATCCAGTTCGTTTTAAATTAGATTCTCACTTTAAAAATATATTGGTATAACCATCATTATCCAACAAATTTACAACAACACTAGTTATGACAAAAACTATCGCATGTTTACAAAGATAAAATAACAAAATATTTTTAACTTATGATATTGCAATTAATACTTTAACTCAATTGCATTGTCTATGGAAACCCTTACTCTGCGTTTACAAAACACAGGACAATAGATTTAATGTATTAATTGTCAAATACCAAACATTGTCCTATAAAGGTTCCGACAATTAAAAGAAATAAAACAAAATAATAAATGAAAAGCATACATTTTGTTTTTTTCTGATCTCTTGTGTTTGTTTATTATTTTATATTGTTTTTTAGCAATATTCAGTTGTTTTTTCTAGTTTCTTTCTAATGTTGAAATTGTTTTAACATTCCTGCCCTTGGCTAATGCTCAACATCGCGTAATCGCCAGGTTACAATTTATAGAAATGGTCAACAATGGATACTTTTGTCAGTAAGGTACGAGTTGAAAACAGGTAAATTGATCAATGATATAAACATACTGGCGAGGTTTTTCACATTTATTTCAATTTTCACTAGAATGAACAATAACAAAAAATACATACATTTGTGTAATACTTGTCATTGCAGAACATATTTAGTCGTGTATATGTACATGTATTTACACAGTTTTCGGTGATGCTTCTAGAGGTGAAGCATTTATGTGTGGCAAATTCAATTTTATGAAGCTACCGACATTTTTATCTACTAATTCATTTTTTTGGTATCCTCTTTAGTTTCTGTGAAAAACCATCGCTTTTTATTCACAAGGAACAAAATCATTAGTAACGGCAGATGTAGGAGCAAAAAACGAAAAAGCTTTCGTGATGTTCCACTATTAGAGTCCTTGTAAAATTTGTAAGCTGCAAATAAAGAAAAAAATTAATTATTATAAACACTTATATATATAGTTTTTACTTTATTAAGAAATAAAATATATAGAATACTCTAATATTTATTGGAGATATTTAAATTTATAAGACATTTATTAATGTGTTCCAAATATCACTGTTGCTTTTTACCTCTGTTTAGTATACATGTGACTTTTCTCCGGTAAGATTTTCTCAAAACGATCCAGTTTAATTCATAAATTGGAACAAAAATAACAACGATTTTCGATAAAACGATAAAACTGTAAAAATTCGCAGAATTTATATTTTCTACATTTTTCTTAATGTTTTAGGCACTATGAATACAAAGTAGGATAAGTTTGAGAAAGTAGGGTATAGAGGGATTGAGGAATGTACTGACAAAATTACGATCAAGACAAACCCAACAACTCGATTCGTTTATTTAATTTTTGAATAAATTAATAAACAAAAAAAGTTAAAATAAACGAAATGTCACATTTATTCCGGTAATAGGCGTGTATGCAACATAACGTTCCAGTAAAGTTTATTCTCACTCGAAAATTATTACAATATTAGATGATTGTTTTCTGAAAAATAATTAAAATATTCATATTATTGGCTGATTATAAATCATAATCAACTTGACTCGATCTCATTTAATGGAATTTGGTTTATCGGACATTTTGTAATAATTTGTACAACACTTTTTGAAAGTACATACCTAAACTGCAGTTCTGATTTTATGGTCTAATATAAACCAGTCTTTTTCGCCATAAAAGGGGCTAAGGGCTCCCAGAAACCTGTGAGATTTTTGTTTTACAGTTTTAAGCAATATTGTAGCCCTATGCTTTTGAAACTTATGTGTAGAAGGAACCAATCAGATAATCGCATAAAGATCAATAAAATATTACAAGTTTTACATTGTGATGTTGTAAAATTTTTGTTGTAGTGTGTTGTTTCAGGGTTATTTTCCCATATTCCTTTCACAACACACGTATCAATCACTGTTAACACGGACAGTTTACTTTTTTATTTTACTGCTCAAAACCATGAGCTAGCACATGAGTTCACAAAAGAGAACATTTAAAAGAAAATTAATATTCTGTTTTTCTTTATATTATAATATTTTTTTAAATTCTTTTTAAATATAAAGGTGATCCAAAAGTATTAATGAATCTTATAATTAGCAATAAATAAATAACGTTTTAACACTGATTCATTGATGCTTTCTACAAGCAAAGAGAAGGCTGAATCATTTCTTTAAAGTTTTGATTTCCCACTTGCAATGGGAAAAATCCAGATAAATCTATCTAATAAGTAGAACAAAAACATTCAAAACAGAAAACTAGATCAAAGTACATTCATCGCAAAATCTTTTGATTTTCTTCACCATTATTTAAATAAAACAAAAAAAGCACGAGTTTTTGGTTGATTATAATTGTTTTAAGTATTTTTACAGCACTGCTAAACCAAAATAAATTTTTTCCTTCTTCTTGCTCAGTACTTAAGTAGAATTTTGTGTTTTATAATAGTTAAAAACATTTATTCCCAACGGCGAATTTACATTTTTCAATTAATCTCGGTTTTTTGTTTTTTCATCCCTCAGTGCGGCGTCAACAGCAGCTATGCCCAGCCATTTTTTGTCATTGTCTTTGCGTAGAAGTGCCCTTTGGTTGATGTTAATTTAGGCTAGTAGTGGAATTTTCTAACTCATTTTTTTGAGTTACAGACAAAAGTCGGTAAAATTAAAATGCTTTTAATTTCGGTAATTAACTAAATTTGTCGGTAACTTAGCGACTCCACCTCGGAACGGTACAGAACACTACGGTACAGTATCATGCTGTTTATTTTCGAACGCTGGTTTTGTGTTCTTCAAATCTGGTTCTAACTCCATGTTCAAACTTGGCCGGAGTAGTTCTCTGCACGTCCTCAAACAGTATGGCATAATTGACCGTATCAAATGCCTTTGATAGGTCAAGGGCTTCCAACGCTGTTCTGTCACACGGTTGGATCTGGTTTAAACCTCGATTGATGTGTGTTGAAATGGCGTGCAATGCGGTTGCGGATGGAAAAATTTCAACATCACCCATCGTAAACTTTGGCGGTGCCTTCTCGGCGGAAAGACATCTGATACGACGTAGTAATCTTCGCTTCGCCCTATCGCTCTCGCGGTGGCCGACAAATTGTCGGTTAAAATATTTAGCGCACCTCTTCGGATCAGTCACCGTTACATCATTAAACGTAACTAAGGTCATATACTTCTTTTATTCAGGGTTCGAGAGTGATTTACTTACTCGGTTCCAATGTTGCAACACTTCAGATGGTCTACCTAATGTTTTTAAATTAAGTGTCATTCCAAAATTGTTCAAAAAATTAATTACTGCAGTAATTTCATTTAAAATTCCATCTATATTGAGTCCATATCAGCATGGTTTTCGTAGTGGTCTTTAAACTGATTTTAGTAACGCTTTTGATAGGGTTAACCATAATTTCCTAATATTTAAATTAAATTACACAAAATAGATCAGAAATAGTTTTGTTTGAAGGGTATCTATCCAAATCGAGTAACGTTCCATCGGATGTTCCGCAAGGAAGTCACCTTGGACCGGTCCTCTTTCTTTTATTTATCAACGATTTACCTAATTCTATAAATTACTCGAAATTGTTAATGTACGCAGATGATGTTAAATTATACATTTCCGATAATTGTGATAAACAATCTAGTTTACTTCAAAACGATTTAGATAGCCTTTTTTAATGGTGCAGGTTAAATTGTATGGATTTAAATTTAAGCAAATGTAAGCATATGTGCTTCTCCAGATCTTCTCCTCTGATATTGCAATATAATATTGACGTTCATTCATTATCAACTGTAGATTCATTTGTCGATCTTGACCTCTTGATGGATCCAAAATTAAATTTTAATAGCCATGTAATAACAATAGTAAATAAAGCAAATGGTGTTTTAGGTTTTGTTAAACGGTGGGCCAAAGAATTTTCTGATCCATATATAACAAAACAGTTATTTACGTCTCCTGTTAGACCTCTGTCAGAATACGGTTCTGTTGTATGGGATCCTCAATATGCAATATACTCAGATAAAATAGAATCCGTGCAAAAACTATTTTTGCTATTAGCCTTACGAGGTTTACATTGAAATAGTAATTTTGTTTTTCCTTCTTATGCTAGTAGGCTAAAATTAATTAGATTGCCTACACTTATGATCTCCATGTTGATCTCCATGTTTGTACTAAAAATATTAAATGGTAATATACCTTCAGATTTCCGAATCTTATCATTTAGAATTAATGTTCCGTTTAGATCTAGTAGGTACTACCAATTATTATATACCGATTTTTCACCGCACGAACCTCTTAGTAAAATGTGTGTTTACTTTAATTATTAAAAGTTATTAAATCTAGTATAATTTTATTTTAATTTAACAAACTAGCTGATGAATTAGATTCTGTAGCTGGTTTTCAACTTCCTACTAAATTCCCATTATGATGTGGATCATGTTGTGTACGCGATCCCTGCGTAAAGGGAGGTCGCCCCCCCCCCCCCCCCTTGGAGTTCGTTGCAATCAAATTCCAAGAACGATGCACAACCCGAAATTGGAACACCAACGTGTGGCGTGAGATGCTGCGGTATGGGTCCTGTTCGGGAGACTGCGGTGGTGTTCCGTCTTTCGACGAAGACTCTGATGAGGACAACGAAGACGTGGACTCGCTAGGGACTACGTTGCTGCTACACATAACAACATAATCCCTATCGATGTAGTCTCGCAATCAACTTGATCCGGAACAGTTTCTAGAGTGCACCCATTCACTACATCCGTTACATCGCACCGAAACAGACCTGTGTTAGATGACGTTCTGACAAACCGCTCAGAACCATGATCCGGGGGTTTCATCTATCCCAAAAGAATTCGGAACTGGCATTCCGTGATATGCTGCTCCCAACGCAGAAAAATAAACACGAAGATGTATATACATGTATAGTTTACCGATCGATGTTCAGTTTTATACACAAAACTATGATAGTGTGCGAGGTGTGTGGAATTTCACATGGGATGTGTTTTGGTAGTCCATTACCGTAGCATCTCTACAAATTCCTCTTCTTCAACATCAGTTTAAATTCTCCCAAAAATCCCAAAATCAGAAAAGCAATGGCTTCAAAAATAAGACATAAATTCTGATAATGTCAATATAAAAAAACAAAAAAGGCTTAAAACAATTTTTTTAATGGGAAGGATGCATTAGTTTTCTATTTTTTGTCATTAAAGATTTAGGGTTAATGTTAGTAGCTTTCAGTTAGAGTGAGTTTAACACATCCAATTTATTTCGGTATTTAGTTCTTAGGTATGAGGTAATAAAGGGGAAAAGGACTTTGACAGCTTCATCAAACGGGTAAGGATACTTCACAGCAACTTAGATCCAGAATTTCTTTGATTGTTTGCAATTAAAAGTATTTTTGTAGTAATACATTTCCCAATAAATCAATGTCCGATTCGTGTAAACTTAAAAGATACAAATTAAGTTCTGTTAATTCGAAAAATACATCGCCAAAGTACTTTTATTTATTTAATACTTTCTCCTATATATGTTCATTATATTCGTTTTTTCCGTTCTAAGAATATTAATACTTCATATCGTAATTCCACAAATCATGTGAGTACTTTTGGCTTTTTCATTCCAACACTTTTTTCCTTTTATATAAGAATCAATTGAACTGGAAATTCCTTCAATCGTTCGTCGGCTTATTGACTTATCGAATAAAAAATCTTGATCAGTCTGTCTTTCAAGAATTGAATCATAGCAACTTGTAAATAAATATATATGTGTGTGCTTGTATTTCTTATGAATAAATCAATACAAGAGAATAAAGAATGCAATTTGCACTGCAGGAAGCACAGTACATTATGCAATAAGAGTTTTAAACTTACTGAACTTACTTATTGATGACATACTTCTGGCATTTGTACAAATCATACTAAAACATCCTTTTGCACCATTTCAATTCAATATTAAATTCGTCAAAATATAAATATTGATTTTTCATTAAGAAAATAAATGTTATATTCATAATATTAGAAAATATTATTACATCGTAGCTGAGAAAATAATTGACTTAACTTTTTAGTATAATCCTTTGTTTAGGCTTTGTGGACATAAGCGCCTCTTTTGACTTCCGTTGGTCAAATTTAACAACAGATTTCTTCACATTTGCTGTTTGTCTTCTTTTTGTAAGTATAAAAGCTTTGGAAATTGATTTTTTTCATTTCAATTTCCACAGCTGATAAATATTTTTCCTGTCTGACACCAGTGACAAAACAATCGTTTTACACCTTATATTTTAAATGTTTAACGGACTTATTTTGTAAATCTTGCTTCATCTATTTGTTTTTCTTTTGTACGAATTCCAGCATCTTCATATCCTTACCATTATCGTGAAGCTCTTTTTTGTCTTCCACAGGATTTGTTTCCCAGGAGATCTGATTCTTTTTTCGCTTCCGAAGTACTTATATCCAGTTCGTTTTAAATTAGATTCTCACTTTAAAAATATATTGGTATAACCATCATTATCCAACAATTTACAACAACCACTAGTTATGACAAAAACTATCGCATGTTTACAAAGATAAAATAACAAAATATTTTTAACTTATGATATTGCAATTAATACTTTAACTCAATTGCATTGTCTATGGAAGCCCTTACTCTGCGTTTACAAGACACAGGACAATAGATTTAATGTATTAATTGTCAAATACCAAACATTGTCCTATAAAGGTTCCGACAATTAAAAGAAATAAAACAAAATAATAAATGAAAAGCATACATTTTGTTTTTTTTCTGATCTCTTGTGTTTGTTTATTATTTTATATTGTTTTTTTTTAGCAATATTCAGTTGTTTTTTCTAGTTTCTTTCTAATGTTGAAATTGTTTTAACATTCCTGCCCTTGGCTAATGCTCAACAGTAACAAAAATGCAGTAAACACAACTCAAATTAAAATCAATTTGTCTTATGTAATCGCCAGGTTACAATTTATAGAAATGGTCAACAATGGATACTTTTGTCAGTAAGGTACGAGTTGAAAACAGGTAAATTGATCAATGATATAAACATACTGGCGAGGTTTTTCACATTTATTTCAATTTTCACTAGAATGAACAATAACAAAAAATACATACATTTGTGTAATACTTGTCATTGCAGAACATATTTAGTCGTGTATATGTACATGTATTTACACAGTTTTCGGTGATGCTTCTAGAGGTGAAGCATTTATGTGTGGCAAATTTAATTTTATGAAGCTACCGACATTTTTATCTACTAATTCATTTTTTTGGTATCCTCTTTAGTTTCTGTGAAAAACCATCGCTTTTTATTCACAAGGAACAAAATCATTAGTAACGGCAGATGTAGGAGCAAAAAACGAAAAAGCTTTCGTGATGTTCCACTATTAGAGTCCTTGTAAAATTTGTAAGCTGCAAATAAAGAAAAAAATTAATTATTATAAACACTTATATATATAGTTTTTACTTTATTAAGAAATAAAATATATAGAATACTCTAATATTTATTGGAGATATTTAAATTTATAAGACATTTATTAATGTGTTCCAAATATCACTGTTGCTTTTTACCTCTGTTTAGTATACATGTGACTTTTCTCCGGTAAGATTTTCTCAAAACGATCCAGTTTAATTCATAAATTGGAACAAAAATAACAACGATTTTCGATAAAACGATAAAACTGTAAAAATTCGCAGAATTTATATTTTCTACATTTTTCTTAATGTTTTAGGCACTATGAATACAAAGTAGGATAAGTTTGAGAAAGTAGGGTATAGAGGGATTGAGGAATGTACTGACAAAATTACGATCAAGACAAACCCAACAACTCGATTCGTTTATTTAATTTTTGAATAAATTAATAAACAAAAAAAGTTAAAATAAACGAAATGTCACATTTATTCCGGTAATAGGCGTGTATGCAACATAACGTTCCAGTAAAGTTTATTCTCACTCGAAAATTATTACAATATTAGATGATTGTTTTCTGAAAAATAATTAAAATATTCATATTATTGGCTGATTATAAATCATAATCAACTTGACTCGATCTCATTTAATGGAATTTGGTTTATCGGACATTTTGTAATAATTTGTACAACACTTTTTGAAAGTACATACCTAAACTGCAGTTCTGATTTTATGGTCTAATATAAACCAGTCTTTTTCGCCATAAAAGGGGCTAAGGGCTCCCAGAAACCTGTGAGATTTTTGTTTTACAGTTTTAAGCAATATTGTAGCCCTATGCTTTTGAAACTTATGTGTAGAAGGAACCAATCAGATAATCGCATAAAGATCAATAAAATATTACAAGTTTTACATTGTGATGTTGTAAAATTGTTGTTGTAGTGTGTTGTTTCAGGGTTATTTTTTCATATTCCTTTCACAACACACGTATCAAACACTGTTAACACGGACAGTTTACTTTTTTATTTTACTGCTCAAAACCATGAGCTAGCACATGAGTCCACAAAAGAGAACATTTAAAAGAAAATTAATATTCTGTTTTTCTTTATATTATAATATTTTTTTAAATTCTTTTTAAATATAAAGGTGATCCAAAAGTATTAATGAATCTTATAATTAGCAATAAATAAATAACGTTTTAACACTGATTCATTGATGCTTTCTACAAGCAAAGAGAAGGCTGAATCATTTCTTTAAAGTTTTGATTTCCCACTTGCAATGGGAAAAATCCAGATAAATCTATCTAATAAGTAGAACAAAAACATTCAAAACAGAAAACTAGATCAAAGTACATTCATCGCAAAATCTTTTGATTTTCTTCACCATTATTTAAATAAAACAAAAAAAGCACGAGTTTTTGGTTGATTATAATTGTTTTAAGTATTTTTACAGCACTGCTAAACCAAAATAAATTTTTTCCTTCTTCTTGCTCAGTACTTAAGTAGAATTTTGTGTTTTATAATAGTTAAAAACATTTATTCTCAACGACGAATTTACATTTTTCAATTAATCTCGGTTTTTTGTTTTTTCATCCCTCAGTGCGGCGTCAACAGCAGCTATGCCCAGCCATTTTTTGTCATCGTCTTTGCGTAGAAGTGCCCTTTGGTTGATGTTAATTTAGGCTAGTAGTGGAATTTTCTAACTCATTTTTTTGAGTTACAGACAAAAGTCGGTAAAATTAAAATGCTTTTAATTTCGGTAATTAACTAAATTTGTCGGTAACTTAGCGACTCCACCTCGGAACGGTACAGAACACTACGGTACAGTATCATGCTGTTTATTTTCGAACGCTGGTTTTGTGTTCTTCAAATCTGGTTCTAACTCCATGTTCAAACTTGGCCGGAGTAGTTCTCTGCACGTCCTCAAACAGTATGGCATAATTGACCGTATCAAATGCCTTTGATAGGTCAAGGGCTTCCAACGCTGTTCTGTCACACGGTTGGATCTGGTTTAAACCTCGATTGATGTGTGTTGAAATGGCGTGCAATGCGGTTGCGGATGGAAAATTTTCAACATCACCCATCGTAAACTTTGGCGGTGCCTTCTCGGGGGAAAGACATCTGATACGACGTAGTAATCTTCGCTTCGCCCTATCGTTCTCGCGGTGGCCGACAAATTGTCGGTTAAAATATTCAGCGCACCTCTTCGGATCAGTCACCGTTACATCATTAAACGTAACTAAGGTCATATACTTCTTTTATTCAGGGTTCGAGAGTGATTTACTTACTCGGTTCCAATGTTGCAACACTTCAGATGGTCTACCTAATGTTTTTAAATTAAGTGTCATTCCAAAATTGTTCAAAAAATTAATTACTGCAGTAATTTCATTTAAAATTCCATCTATATTGAGTCCATATCAGCATGGTTTTCGTAGTGGTCTTTCAACTGATTTTAGTAAAGCTTTTGATAGGGTTAACCATAATTTCCTAATATTTAAATTAAATTACACAAAATAGATCAGAAATAGTTTTGTTTGAAGGGTATCCAAATCGAGTAACGTTCCATCGGATGTTCCGCAAGGAAGTCACCTTGAACCGGTCCTCTTTCTTTTATTTATCAACGATTTACCTAATTCTATAAATTACTCGAAATTGTTAATGTACGCAGATGATGTTAAATTATACATTTCCGATAATTGTGATAAACAATCTAGTTTACTTCAAAACGATTTAGATAGCCTTTTTTAATGGTGCAGGTTAAATTGTATGGATTTAAATTTAAGCAAATGTAAGCATATGTGCTTCTCCAGATCTTCTCCTCTGATATTGCAATATAATATTGACGTTCATTCATTATCAACTGTAGATTCATTTGTCGATCTTGACCTCTTGATGGATCCAAAATTAAATTTTAATAGCCATGTAATAACAATAGTAAATAAAGCAAATGGTGTTTTAGGTTTTGTTAAACGGTGGGCCAAATAATTTTCTGATCCATATATAACAAAACAGTTATTTACGTCTCCTGTTAGACCTCTGTCAGAATACGGTTCTGTTGTATGGGATCCTCAATATGCAATATACTCAGATAAAATAGAATCCGTGCAAAAACTATTTTTGCTATTAGCCTTACGAGGTTTACATTGAAATAGTAATTTTGTTTTTCCTTCTTATGCTAGTAGGCTAAAATTAATTAGATTGCCTAGACTTATGATCTCCATGTTGATCTCCATGTTTGTACTAAAAATATTAAATGGTAATATACCTTCAGATTTCCGAATCTTATCATTTAGAATTAATGTTCCGTTTAGATCTAGTAGGTACTACCAATTATTATATACCGATTTTTCACCGCACGAACCTCTTAGTAAAATGTGTGTTTACTTTAATTATTAAAAGTTATTAAATCTAGTATAATTTTATTTTAATTTAACAAACTAGCTGATGAATTAGATTCTGTAGCTGGTTTTCAACTTCCTACTAAATTCCCATTATGATGTGGATCATGTTGTGTACGCGATCCCTGCGTAAAGGGAGGTCGCCCCCCCCCCCTTGGAGTTCGTTGCAATCAAATTCCAAGAACGATGCACAATCCGAAATTGGAACACCAACGTGTGGCGTGAGATGCTGCGGTATGGGTCCTGTTCGGGAGACTGCGGTGGTGTTCCGTCTTTCGACGAAGACTCTGATGAGGACAACGAAGACGTGGACTCGCTAGGGACTACATTGCTGCTACACATAACAACATAATCCCTATCGATGTAGTCTCGCAATCAACTTGATCCGGAACAGTTTCTAGAGTGCACCCATTCACTACATCCGTTACATCGCACCGAAACAGACCTGTGTTAGATGACGTTCTGACAAACCGCTCAGAACCATGATCCGGGGGTTTCATCTATCCCAAAAGAATTCGGAACTGGCATTCCGTGATATGCTGCTCCCAACGCAGAAAAATAAACACGAAGATGTATATACATGTATAGTTTACCGATCGATGTTCAGTTTTATACACAAAACTATGATAGTGTGCGAGGTGTGTGGAATTTCACATGGGATGTGTTTTGGTAGTCCATTACCGTAGCATCTCTACAAATTCCTCTTCTTCAACATCAGTTTAAATTCTCCCAAAAATCCCAAAATCAGAAAAGCAATGGCTTCAAAAATAAGACATAAATTCTGATAATGTCAATATAAAAAAACAAAAAAGGTTACTTATATATATTTTTTAATTTAATACTAAAATAGCTTAAAACAATTTTTTTAATGGGAAGGATGCATTAGTTTTCTATTTTTTGTCATTAAAGATTTAGGGTTAATGTTAGTAGCTTTCAGTTAGAGTGAGTTTAACACATCCAATTTATTTCGGTATTTAGTTCTTAGGTATGAGGTAATAAAGGGGAAAAGGACTTTGACAGCTTCATCAAACGGGTAAGGATACTTCACAGCAACTTAGATCCAGAATTTCTTTGATTGTTTGCAATTAAAAGTATTTTTGTAGTAATACATTTCCCAATAAATCAATGTCCGATTCGTGTAAACTTAAAAGATACAAATTAAGTTCGGTTAATTCGAAAAATACATCGCCAAAGTACTTTTATTTATTTAATACTTTCTCCTATATATGTTCATTATATTCGTTTTTTCCGTTCTAAGAATATTAATACTTCATATCGTAATTCCACAAATCATGTGAGTACTTTTGGCTTTTTCATTCCAACACTTTTTTCCTTTTATATAAGAATCAATTGAACTGGAAATTCCTTCAATCGTTCGTCGGCTTATTGACTTATCGAATAAAAAATCTTGATCAGTCTGTCTTTCAAGAATTGAATCATAGCAACTTGTAAATAAATATATATGTGTGTGCTTGTATTTCTTATGAATAAATCAATACAAGAGAATAAAGAATGCAATTTGCACTGCAGGAAGCACAGTACATTATGCAATAAGAGTTTTAAACTTACTGAACTTACTTATTGATGACATACTTCTGGCATTTGTACAAATCATACTAAAACATCCTTTTGCACCATTTCAATTCAATATTAAATTCATCAAAATATAAATATTGATTTTTCATTAAGAAAAAAATTTTATATTCATAATATTAGAAAATATTATTACATCGTAGCTGAGAAAATAATTGACTTAACTTTTTAGTATAATCCTTTGTTTAGGCTTTGTGGACATAAGCGCCTCTTTTGACTTCCGTTGGTCAAATTTAACAACAGATTTCTTCACATTTGCTGTTTGTCTTCTTTTTGTAAGTATAAAAGCTTTGGAAATTGATTTTTTTCATTTCAATTTCCACAGCTGATAAATATTTTTCCTGTCTGACACCAGTGACAAAACAATCGTTTTACACCTTATATTTTAAATGTTTAACGGACTTATTTTGTAAATCTTGCTTCATCTATTTGTTTTTCTTTTGTACGAATTCCAGCATCTTCATATCCTTACCATTATCGTGAAGCTCTTTTTTGTCTTCCACAGGATTTGTTTCCCAGGAGATCTGATTCTTTTTTCGCTTCCGAAGTACTTATATCCAGTTCGTTTTAAATTAGATTCTCACTTTAAAAATATATTGGTATAACCATCATTATCCAACAATTTACAACAACCACTAGTTATGACAAAAACTATCGCATGTTTACAAAGATAAAATAACAAAATATTTTTAACTTATGATATTGCAATTAATACTTTAACTCAATTGCATTGTCTATGGAAACCCTTACTCTGCGTTTACAAAACACAAAACACACATGTATTAATTGTCAAATACCAAACATTGTCCTATAAAGGTTCCGACAATTAAAAGAAATAAAACAAAATAATAAATGAAAAGCATACATTTTGTTTTTTTCTGATCTCTTGTGTTTGTTTATTATTTTATATTGTTTTTTTAGCAATATTCAGTTGTTTTTTCTAGTTTCTTTCTAATGTTGAAATTGTTTTAACATTCCTGCCCTTGGCTAATGCTCAACAGTAACAAAAATGCAGTAAACACAACTCAAATTAAAATCAATTTGTCTTATGTAATCGCCAGGTTACAATTTATAGAAATGGTCAACAATGGATACTTTTGTCAGTAAGGTACGAGTTGAAAACAGGTAAATTGATCAATGATATAAACATACTGGCGAGGTTTTTCACATTTATTTCAATTTTCACTAGAATGAACAATAACAAAAAATACATACATTTGTGTAATACTTGTCATTGCAGAACATATTTAGTCGTGTATATGTACATGTATTTACACAGTTTTCGGTGATGCTTCTAGAGGTGAAGCATTTATGTGTGGCAAATTTAATTTTATGAAGCTACCGACATTTTTATCTACTAATTCATTTTTTTTGGTATCCTCTTTAGTTTCTGTGAAAAACCATCGCTTTTTATTCACAAGGAACAAAATCATTAGTAACGGCAGATGTAGGAGCGAAAAACGAAAAAGCTTTCGTGATGTTCCACTATTAGAGTCCTTGTAAAATTTGTAAGCTGCAAATAAAGAAAAAAAATTAATTATTATAAACACTTATATATATAGTTTTTACTTTATTAAGAAATAAAATATATATAATACTCTAATATTTATTAGAGATATTTAAATTTATGACATTTATTAATGTGTTCCAAATATCACTGTTGCTTTTTACCTCTGTTTAGTATACATGAGACTTTTCTCCGGTAAGATTTTCTCAAAACGATCCAGTTTAATTCATAAATTGGAACAAAAATAACAACGATTTTCGATAAAGCGATAAAACTGTAAAAATTCGCAGAATTTATATTTTCTACATTTTTCTTAATGTTTTAGGCACTATGAATACAAAGTAGGATAAGTTTGAGAAAGTAGGGTATAGAGGGATTGAGGAATGTACTGACAAAATTACGATCAAGACAAATGCAAAAACTCGATTCGTTTATTTAATTTTTGAATAAATTAATAAACAAAAAAAGTTAAAATAAACGAAATGTCACATTTATTCCGGTAATAGGCGTGTATGCAACATAACGTTCCAGTAAAGTTTATTCTCACTCGAAAATTATTACAATATTAGATGATTGTTTTCTGAAAAATAATTAAAATATTCAAATTATTGGCTGATTATAAATCATAATCAACTTGACTCGATCTCATTTAATGGAATTTGGTTTATCGGACATTTTGTAATAATTTGTACAACACTTTTTGAAAGTACATACCTAAACTGTAGTTCTGATTTTATGGTGTAATATAAACCAGTCTTTTTCGCCATAAAAGGGGCTAAGGGCTCCCAGAAACCTGTGAGATTTTTGATTTACAGTTTTAAGCAATATTGTAGCCCTATGCTTTTGAAACTTATGTGTAGAAGGAACCAATCAGATAATCGCATAAAGATCAATAAAATATTACAAGTTTTACATTGTAAAGTTGTAAAATTTTTGTTGTAGTGTGTTGTTTCAGGGTTATTTTTTCACATTCCTTTCACAACATACGTATCAAACACTGTTAACACGGACAGTTTTTTTTTTTTATTTTTATTTAATTTTTATCAAATAGTCATTGTAAGTTAACATTATAATAAATTTAATAGTTTGGGAGATATGTTGTAAAATTTATGAAGAAGTTGCTATTTTTAGATTTTATATTAAAAAAAGCAAAAACATAAATACTGTTGATAAAAATTATGGTGTAGTTTTTCCATAAGTCTTTCATAGAGTTTATTTTGTTGATCTATTGAAACCAGAAGTTTGTCGTAAATAGTAAAATTTAAAGTTGGAAATTATGTTCTGGTCTATAGGCACGTTGTATTAAAACAAATTTTACATGCTACGATAAGTCATCTATAGAAATTGGATGTCCTGGTGCGTTATCAATTAACAGAAGAATTCTGATTTCAATTTATTGAGAAGAACACAGGAACCGCGAGAAATTTTATAACCAACCTCTAAGGTAGGTTGCGGTAATTCAATCATTTATATAGGAGCACCAGTGCACCGGAAAATCCCTTTTGTTAATACTTTTAATTGCTCTCGCACAATCGCACTTATCAGCACTGCTCAAAACCATGAGCTAGCACATGAGTCCACAAAAGAGAACATTTAAGAGAAAGTTAATATTCTGTTTTTCTTTATATTATAATATTTTGTTAAATTCTTTTTTTTTAATATAAAGGTGATCCAAAAGTATTAATGAATCTAATATCTAACAGTAAATAAATAACGTTTTAACACTGATTCATTGATGCTTTCTACAAACAAAGAAAAATTGTGTGGTCAACGGGCTCTTGTTTTTGAGCAGAGCTGTACTTATACATATAACAACAGCAACGAGCGAGAATGTCTGTAAATAAATATATAAGGTAAAAAAAAACAAACATAAAAACTAAATAACAATCAAGGTTCTGTTAAATGATTTGACTAACAGAGGTCATAGTAGTCTATGACGATTATTTAAATAACTATTATTAATTTTTTTATCACAGATTTGAAATCCGGTTCTAAAGTACTGTTTTGAGCCCAGGTACTGTTTAGAGCTTATTAATCTAACTATTGGTGAGTATTATAAATTGTAAAAAAAATATTCCAAAATATACATAAATATTTTTTAATTTTATATTTTTAGTTCAACCTCTATGGTTGCCAGGTGCTGATTTGTTATAAAACTGACGTAGTGTGTTTTCGTTGGGGACATCTGTGGCTGGTTCGTTTAATATACCAATAGGAGAGAGGTAATATGATTCTAACCACGATGTGTGCTTTTCCATTTGGTAGACTTCATTCAGTAGTAAGTTTTCATTACTTTCGAGTTCTTTATTTTCTTCTGGTGGCTTTGGATATGCTTACAAAATGGCACAACCCGAGCAGTGTTGTATATGTAAGTATTGCAATATCTCTTTTTGTGATATGAAGTTTTTGTTGATACATTTTCTTAACATCTTGCGTTTAAGAATTTCTAACTCCTTGGCCACTATTGGGGAAATAGAGACCCAGATCGAAAATCTGTACGCAAAGATAGATCTGATTGCGACTTTATAGAGAAGTAGGTATTTGCTATTTAATAGATATGAAAACTTTAATAATATACCTTTTGTCTTTTGCATGACGGACCGTGCGTGTTCATTGAACTTCAACAAGTTGGTGAAAGTAATACCCATGTATTTGAGGGTGATTTTAAAAGGAATCTCAATTCTGTTTCTGGGGCATTTTCCTGAAGCGATCCGGAAACATATTGCTACTGATTTCTAGGCATTGTTTTTCACTCCCCATTTTTTAAGAATTCATGAATGCTCTGGAGATGAGTTCTAGCGTTTTGTAAGGTGTTTTTGGGCGAAATGTTGTGTGCTTAAATTAAGCAGTGTAAAAATGAAGAGGTATGGGTCTAAAATACTTCCTTGCGGTACCCACCTTTTGCTAAGCCCGTAGCAGACGACGTGTTATTGATGTTAATTAAAAACTTTCGTGCAGTGAAAAAACTTACCATCAACTTGACCAGATATGTGTCTAGGCCAATTTGGATTAACTTGTAAAGTACTCCTGCGTGACATACTGAATCAAATTCTTTCTGGATATCTAAGGAAATCGCTGCAGTAGACACTTGGTTCCTTAGGTTTGACGTTATATCACTATGGAGCTTCAGTAGTGCATGTTGTAAACCCAAATTGGTACGATGAGATTGAACTAATTGTTAATTAGTTTTCCATTCTTTATTTTAGGTCTGCCTCAAATAACTTCCCGATGTTGGACAGTAGTGATGTTGATCGACAATTGTCTAAGGTATTGTCATTAATCATATTCTTTTTTATGGGGATCATTTTCGCCAATTTCCAGAGTGATGGGAAATATCCATTGTTAATGCAGTTGTTGAACAGGCAGGTAAGCAAATTTATAACAATATCAGGGAACTTTTTAATGAGAAAATTGGAAATTTCATCCCGGCCACATGATTTTTTACGGTTGAGATTTGCAATTGCGATTTTTATCTTTTCAGGGTTGGTGAAGTGAAAATAACTTGTTCAATGAATTGAAGTTATCATCAAATGAATCGATGTGCAGTGGAGCGGCATTGATGCATGTTGTGACTCTAGAGTTAAGATCGTTTACAGAATTTGTGGGCAGATTTTCTTGAAAAATTTCATAATAAAATTGTTTAAAATTATTAGCAATTTCTGAATTTTCTGTAATGGTTTCATTTTTAATTTGAAGTTTTTGGCAAAATATTGATTTATTTTTTCCGGTAAATTGAGCAACTTTTTTAAATGGATTGGATGGTTTTCAATTACTAAACGCCTGCGCAGATTCAGTAAGGATTAGATCTCAGATGATGATTTTAAGTTGGATTTGCTGGGAAAGAATTGAGTACTCAGGGCTTACCCTATTGCCAGTACGGTGAAAAATCTTCTTTAGTTCCTTTTGTCATCTGTATTTAACTCTGAGAAAATTCTGAACCCTGTCGGAGAAAGGCGGTTTATGAATATTTAGGGGAATTTTTTGTGAGTGGTTGTTATGAAGTGGAAGAATTTCGCTGTTAAAGTTTTCAATGATATTATCGATTTGTCCATTTAATAGGTTCCTATTGGTTGCGGCATAATTTGCGTAGACATTAAATCTAGCTCTTGTCGAAAATCGTTCCAGTTTGTGTTTTTATATGAGGTGAAAAACTTTGGCTGTCTCAAAATTAGGTGTGTGGAATAAAATGATAACACCAGTTTAATGGGAAAGTGGTCGGAGAATGTTGGCAGCGTTTGTAGATTGTAGTTTTGGATTCCGGGATTGACCAAATGAGAGGAAATTAGGAAGTGGTCCAAAAATGAGGAACCAATTGGGGTGGAACCACTAAGACGTGTAACATCTAGTGGGTTATTAGCCAATCATGCGTGCAGTGTTTTGCCATTAGAATTTTCCTGTAGATCGCCCCATGAGGTACTTTTTGAGTTGAGGTCATTCCAAGAATAAATCCATCCAAGTTTTTACAAAGATGTAGCAATTTGTGTAAATCAGATTTAAAACTGTTTACAGGCATACTGCAGGGAATGTAAACAGAGCCTATGAGGGTATTTGATGGTATTGTTGTTTCTCAATATTCTATTTGAATAAACGACGTACCACTACCGACGTCGTTTCGAGGGTCTCTGGAAAATTTAATATTTTTTTTTGTTTTTGCAATTACTGCTATTCCAACAGGAGAGTTGTCATATATAAAGTTATAGCCATTAATCCACATTTTCTTGTTGTTCCGCAGATGGCATTCTTGAATGAAAACAAAATCTATGTTCTCACGGTGGAGCATATTTTCTAGTTCAGGTTGTCTACTAGCATCAGCATTGTCTACTAGCGTACGTTGAGTGTAAGAAATAAAAAGGTTTTATGGACCATAAGTAGATTTTACTTTTGTGAGAAGCCTTAAGAATTATTGCTTTGCTTCTGCCTTTGACTTGTTTTGGAAAGTGTTTAAAAATATTCTAATTTCTTGTTCTAGAGAAAGCACTTTGGGCTCATGAAATAAATTGGCAAGTTCAAGGAATTGTTGTATTAGAAGTGGCTTCTGAAAAGTTTCTGATCTCTTAACAGGTGTTTTAAAATGACTGGCAAACGTCTTACCTGGAGATAATAAAGACATGTTCAGTGCTTTACTCACGTTATTTTGGGCGATTGATTTAGCTTCCACTGCGTTGGCGACTTTTTTCCGTCTGTCTGCGACAAAGGCTTTATATGACGGACAGCCTCTCCAGTTGGCCCGATGACCTGATTTACCGCAATTGACGCAGGAATGTTCTGATGAGTCTGTCGGGAAGGTGTTTTTTTTGTCACATTTAACACATTTATATGGACAGTTGCAGATGCGGGAGATGTGACCGTGACCTTGACATCTGCGGCATTAAGGATCACGATCTTTTCTTTTCGGTTTTGAGAATCTGTCTATTCAGTTCTTTTATGTGGGTAATCTCACTAGCCTTTACCCTGGCAATAATGATACCAAAAAAGGTCAGTATCAATATTGGAGTCTTGATGTTTGAAACACTTGCCACTGTGTCAGGAACTAAACTATCCAACTCTTCTTTGATTTCCTGGATGTCAGAAACTGCGTGGAGATCCCGGAACAGAATTGAGTCTTATTCTAGCACTTTTGGCGAGAATTTGTAGAAGTTTATGTTTTTTGCCCTCATTTTCTCTTTGTCTTATTTACATTTTTAATTTTAAATGAGGATTGAGGAATTGATGCTTTCGGCGACTCAATCAACGTCATCATATTTACATTGAAGACAAAAATTGGCGGGCACCAGAATATTTTGGATTTGTGTCTCCCATCTTTGGTTATGCGGGTCTTTGCATTTTCATTGTTTTCGGCAGAAGCTGCCGTCCGCTAGAGCACCTAGAATTCCAAATTTGATATGATCGTCAGGATTATGATTCAATAATCGCTCTTTTAGATCGGTAATGTTTATTTTTACTGGTGACTGTGCATTTCAAGATGTTGCCTTTTGCGTTCATTTTGATGGCAGTCATCGTGTTGTTTGTTGTTGGCAATGGCGGAAAAGAATTTGAAGTTTGAAGGAGGGGTGTCAGGCATCTCCATTGCAAATGAATGCAAATCTGATGTCTGCAGCCAGATAAAAAATAATTTAATTATATTACAGCTTAAATCAGGACATCTGGTATGTTGTAGGGTTCACTAGGTTTTATTTAAAATATCTACAACAAAGAAAAGGTAATTCCGTACAGGTGAAGATCAGTGTTGCCAAACGTTGCAAAATTTTTAAAAGACACAACCTACACAACTTGTAATTTAAGCTCGCTAATCGGATCTTACAGTTTTAAAAATGCGACGCTTGTCGGGGCCCTACTGTACAATTCACGCAGATCCATAATTAAATTTGCTATTGTATATAATTCTAGTATCCTAATTATATGTCAAAAAATGTATCCACAACAATAAATTTTCAATAAATTATTTTAATTTCAAAAATGAACATTTTTGGAAATTATATTGTCCAATTCCAAACACAGAATAAATCTTCCTAAAAGGCTTAATTTTAATTCTTTCATATCCTTCCTTTGAATGTACAGTTCTTAGCTACTGACACAAATGTTTCAACACTTCTAGGAATCGCTATGAGATCATCGTTAAAAAAACAACATCCTTTTTAAATTGAAATCAAAATACAAATTTACATTATTCATTTTTAATTTTTTTAATTATAGAAGACAAGAATTAGTCCACTATATTACCCAAAGCAGTACTGCTTTTTCTGTACCGTTTTACTCTATTCCTGAGTACCACAAATGTTGAACACATGCTTTAATATGAATGTTATTAAAATACATCGAACGTAAAAATTTCGAAGGTTAAACAACTTCAACTCTGATAGATTTTTTGTATAATGTTAATAATAATTATTTTTTAACTCCAATCCTTAAAATATGTCCCTAATAGATATTTCACAAAACGACAACGCCGACAAAAAAAGGAAAATTTTCGCGGTAACGGAAACGCGACAACGCATGTACAAAGAGCAAATTGTAGTATATCAATTGTATATGTGTACTTTGTTTAATTTGAAAGGGTCTCTCCTATACAACGATTCTTTAAAGCATTCCAAAATTTGACAGCTTTCAATTTAAAAAAATAATGTGGAAACCTTAAAATAAAATGTACAAATAAACATTTTTAAGATTATAATAATTTGTTGAAATTATGTTGTTTTCTTTGTATTATTGCACATTTAAAACCGACACCATGATAACATACTGTTAAATTTCAAACTTCGTTTTCATTAAATTGAGTTTATATTAATTTTTTGTAACACGAGAGATATTTCTCCTCCTTAGGTAATTTCGAGCACCTCTAAAACGATTTTGTACTTCGTATATAATGTCAAAGGTAATGACATTTTCTCAGGGGGCATTTGTATTTGCCGCCTTTTCAGTTTTCAGCCTACTTTACGTGTTCTAACAAACCAATAGTTAGTAAAACACAACAAGAATAATTGTCTTTGGTGTGGATTAATTAATTAAATGTTTTCTCCGACGTCATAGAAATACATTCTGTAATAAATAATCAATATATTGCAAATTAAAATGCATAGTTTAATTACTTAAATACGATTTATATAAATATTTATATATATTTGATGTCGTCGCATACTGGGAGGACGCGTGGGACTTTGCCAGTTTTCAACAGCGTTCGAAAATAAACACTATGATACTGTACTGTAGTATTCTGTACCGTTCCGTAAATGCGGAACACTACGAGCGTATATATATATATATATATATATATACTTCAATTTTGAACATGGGAAATGTTGTAGAGATCGACAGAATATTACTATTATATGTATATGTATGTATATGTATATATATATATATATATATATATATATATATATATATATATATATATATATATATATATATATATATATACATACATATATATAGATTCAAAATAAGGGATTAAGATTAAAACAGATGCCAAATTACCTCTCGTTGGAATGACCAAACCCCACATTACTTCGTTAACTACATTGGCAATATTAATAACCTTATTCCTATATCACACTTCAAACTTGTCGTTCACTATTCATTATCGTGTACAAAATATAAGAGAGACACCATTGTCCATATTCTATATACCAACAGTGACCTATATACCTAAACTCATAATTGCAGTTCCATTTTTAAACTCCATACTGAATTTAGTACTTCTGGTAGTCTATATATTACGTATTTCGAAACACTGTCCATTTTCGAATGTTCCCACACTTTATATAAAATTTAGTACAAATTGTTATCTAAACGCTACAAACTGACAATGATTACAGTGAGGTAGTCTTTAGACTTCTTCGCTTTTTCATTTTATCATTTACCTTTTTAGCATGTAGCCCAATCTATGTGTATACAAATCGAATGTCGATCGTTAATAATTGAATGGGTTGTGTATTGAGTACGTATTCATAATCACCATAAAATACTACGTTGATCTAACGATGTCCGTCTGTCTGTTGAAATCACGAACAGCCCACATTATTTGACTTAGGGATTTACAATTTGGCAGAACAATTTGTATTATACTATTTGAGGTATATAAAATAATCTTTACTTTATGATGTCGAAAA